CAGTTGTGAATACCGCAGTTGCAGGTATCGTCTTCGGTGGAGCTCCCTTGTAGGGCCACGAAACGCTGTACTGTCTGGGGGTGACGCATGCGGACTGCGCCACTGGAACCTTCGGTGCCAGTGGAGCTCCCTATGAGGCCACCGAACGCTGTACTGGATGGGGTAGGCGCATGCGGGCTGCGCCACTTGGACCGTCGGTGGAGATCCCTATCGGCCCACGGAACGTTATACTGGGTGTGGGAGACGCATGCGGGCTGCTCCACTGAAACCTTAGGTGGGCCCTCTATGGGGCCACGAAGCGCTGTACTGGGTGTGTGGCGGACGCTTACGGGCACCCCCACTGGGGCCTTCGGTGGAGCTCCTTATTGGGCCACGAAGCGCTGTACTGGGTGTGGGGGGGGGCACGCGTGCACCCCTACTGGGGTCTTCGGTGGAGCTCCTGTGGGGCCACGAGACGCTGTACTGGGTGTGGGGGACGCATGCGGGCACCCCCACTGGGGCCTTCGGTGGAGCTCCCCATGAGGCCACGAAGCGCTGTTCTTGCTGTGGGGGACGCATGCGGGCACCCCCACTGGGGCCTTCGGTGAAGCTTCCTATGGGGCCACGAAGCGCTGTACTGGGTGTCGGGGACGCATGCGGGCACCCCCACTGGGGCCTTCGGTGGAGCCCCCCATGGGGCCACGAAGCGCTGTACTGGGTGTGGGAAACGGATGCGGGCACCCCACTGGGGCCTTCGGTGGAGCTCACAATGCAGCCACGAAGCGCTGCATTGGGTGTGGCGGACGCATGCGGGCACCCCCACTGGGGCCTTCGGTGGACCTCCCTATGGGGCCACGAAATGCGGTACCGGGTGTGGGGGACGCTTACGGGCACCCCTACTGGGGCCTTTGGTGGAGCTCCCGTGGCCACGAAAGGTGTGAGGGGTGTGCCAAAATGAAAGGGGTGACGGGATGATGGGGGGAGGAAGAGAGAGGAGGAGAAGGGAGGAACGCGGGGACCGCTCTTCAAAACGACGACCCAACACCACAGTGTGATAGGGAACTAACCACAGCTTCGCAGATGGAGTGTGGCTCTCGCTTTAGCGCAGCGCACATTCGTGTTACAACGGTGCAAGAGTTTCACGGGTTGAGGGCGGGCAGTTTTCAACATGTGGCTCCAAAAACATGCAAATCTGTCACGCGTTAAGGACAGGTTGTCTTCAACATGTGGCTTCTAGCCTTCGTGTCGCGCACATTCGCCCCAAACAAGTGCAACAGTTTCGCTGATTGAGGGCAGTTCGTTTAAAACATGTAGCTTTCGCCTCAGCGCCGCTCACATTCGTCTTACAACATTTGAAGAGGTTCACGGCTTGAGGGCGATTCCTTTTCAAAGTGTGGCTCTCGCTTGAGCGCCGCGCACACTCATCTTAGGAAATTGCAAGAGCTTCGCAGAACGATTCTGGATTGTCAGGGCGCAGCAGATACGTATAATCGCGGTGTTGGAATCCCAGAAATGGTGTCCTAGCGCGGCTCAGCATCGTCAAGACGTAGCAGTCAGGTTGGCTCGTGGCGTTGAAGTCCTGGAAATGGCTTTTTGGCAGGCGTCAGGATTTTCACACCGTTCTCCCCCAACGGCGTCATTCCCCCGGGGGCAATGAACCCTTGTAGGGGCCTCTGAAGAAAGAGCTTGGAGGGATGGTGCGTTCCAACATCGTGGGTCTCGGGTTTGCACTGGTCCTTCTCCTCCTCCTCCTCCTCTTCCTCCTCCTCTTCCTCCTTCTCCTCCTCCTCCTCCTCCTCCTCCTGCTCCTCCTCCTCCTCCTCCCTCCTGCTCCTCCTCCTCCTCCCCCTCCTCCTCCTCCCCCTCCCCCTTCACCACCTCCTCCCCCTCCTCCTCCTTCTCCTCCTCCTCCTCCTCCTCCTCCTCTCCTCCTCATCCCCCTCCTCCCCCTCCTCCTCCTCCTCCTCCTCCTCCTCCTCCTCCTCCTCCTCCCTCCTCCTCCTCCCCCTCCTCCTCCTCCTCCTCCTCCTCCTCCTCCTCCTCCTCCTCCTAACTAACTAAACACACATCGGGTGCAACGAAAACCGGTCTCAAGGCTCTGGACACCGAATTCCGAGATCCAGGCCGAAAAACCTCAAACAAAATTGTGTGCCCCTGTGACGTCGGGAACGAGGTCGGCGCGCGGCCGCGGGGGCCTGGCGGCGCCCCGCTCCGCAGGTGCGGCGACGGGGTCCGATACAGCCAGGGGGGCCCGCGACGCGCGACCAGCGCTGACTGCATCCATGCACCGCGGATTCCATCCTCCCTCGGGCTGTTAGACGGAGCCGCCAGGGCCAGAACCCGCCGAACAGCCTGGGGGTGTGGGGGACCCGCAGTGCATCACGTCCGACTGCGGGCTCTCCTTCGGAGCGACCCCAGTCGGGCTAACCCTGCTCTCCAGGGCCCTCAGAAGTTCACTTTCACGCTCGCTGCCAGTCGCAGCGACCATCGCGGTCTCACTGGCCGCCTGCTGCCGACGGGCCTTCAGCTCGGCTTCATGCTCTGGCCCATATCCTTCTGCAGATCGCGCTCGAGCCTGGACCTGCCCGTCGACACGCACCGCCCCCTCGGCCTCCAGCATGGCAATGAGCAGCGTCCGCACGTCCCTGACGAGAGTCGACGCCAGCGGCATGTCGGCCAGACGCCGCGTCCCCTCCACGTCGCTCTCCCTGAACGTCTCCTCGTTCGCCTTCTTCTTTCCCTCGCCGTGCTTGCCCAGCCACTTGGGCGGTGGCTGCACTTGCGGGCTGATGGCCATCGTCATCTGCTCATGCTCGTCGAACCTCGCGCGCTTGGACATGCGTCCCTTGAAGAGCTCGCCCTTGATCGCTGGGCTCTCCTCCAGCGCCGTGTTCATGATTGACCGCGCGCCCTGCGCCAGCCTGACCTGCTGCCCTTTGCTCCTGTCTGCGTTGGCCAGCTTGTTGATCACTCTCTTCTTCTTCTCGATCTGCTCGTGCGGGCTGCCGAGCTCCTGCTGAGTGAGCGTCTTGGACTCCACCGCATCGTTGTACTCCTTCCCGCTCGTCTCCGCCGCATCCACCGTGCCGCTGTTCACTGGCTCCAGGCAGAAGTCGAGGACTGCCCACTCCAGTCTGCGCTGCCCCTGCAACGTGTTCAGCACCCCCCGCAGCCTGGTGACCATCGCGTCGGAGACCCCGCCGAAGCTGGCGGCGACGAGACCCGTGCCACAATCGGTCGCGAGCTTCTTCTTCTTCATGCCGCCCTCCTGGTCCCAGTAGGTCGTCAGCACGCGCATGCCGCCCCCAACTCCTTCCATGGCCATCTCCTGCTTCCACTCCTCAGCGCCCAGCATGCAGTTGGCCTCGTCCCTCAGCTCTTCGATCCGCTCGTAGTAAATGTGGCCCTGATGGGCCTCGCAGCGCGCCTTGCACTCGCATGTGAGACGCCGTAGCCGCTCTTCTGCACCCCTCTCGATGCGCTCGGGATAGTGGTGGCCTGTGTCATCCCGTCGAGCCTGCATCTCTGCAAGTTCATGTGCCACGTGCGCCACAGCTCGCAGAGCCTGAACCCTCTCTTCCACCAAAAGCTCGTACTCATTGTCCAGCGTCCTCGTGGGTGGGAAGAACGAGATCTTGATGCCGCGAATCGCCTTCATGAAGAGATGGTATTTGGTCTCGCAGGTGGGGTAGGAGTCGGAGAGGTTCCTCTCGGCATCAGCGGCGCTCAGATCGTTCTCAAACTTCTCGCCTAGCTCGTGCCTCCACTCGCCCTTCGTCAAGCGGATCATGAGGGAGTCCCGATCCGCCCTTGCCATGGCGCCCCGCAGCGGCCAGTAACTCAGCTCGTAAGTGATGTGGGCCTCAGTCAGGTACCGATAGCGAAGCTCAGCCGTCGGGAATGATAAGAGCGTGCGCATCAGGTAGTGGTGCATCCTGATCTTCGGCACTGCCCCCATAGCCGTGGGCGGAACAATCACTTGATCTTTCCAGCTGGTCTGCTCCGACCCGTAGTAGCTGTCGAGCGGAAGGAAGTGCGTGTTGGCCGCGGTAAGGTAGTACATAGCCGCCCACCTCCGTCCATGACGTCCAGCCACCTCGTCTATGTCATTGAAATCCAGCTGCTTGTCCCAAGCGAACACCTCCAGGTCCTTGTTGCCCGCCTCCGCCTCCTCGTCGTTGATCCAATCTGAGATGCGCTGCATGGCCCCCGTACGCTCCTCCTGGGTGCCGTACGGCGTGAGGTAGACCCCGCCGCCCAGCATCGGGGTCCGCGTCATCGTCAGCTTGAGACCTCCCGCCCGCTCAGTGATGCCAATCTTCGGCGGCGAGCTGAGTACCTGGCGGACATGGTTGCTGACGCTCCTACCAATCATGATCGTGATACCGCAGCTCTTGTCAGTGAGCCGTCCACTGCGCCAGCTCCCGTCGAGAACCACGTGCCTCATCGTGCTAGTGGCCGTGACGGGGATCGCGTCTCTCTGGCGCTGCTGAGTGCCAGGCCGTGCCACCACGTCAAAATTCTGCAGCGCCTCGCGCGCGAGAGCCACCCGCCAGGACTGCCAGCTCTGCGGGTTGTAGAGGCCCGTCGTGAGCATCCAGACAGCGGCAGCCGTGCACGCCGTCACGAGCCTCGCCAGGGCCATGGCGCGGCTGGGCAGCGCGAGAGCCTCAGAGGGCTAGCGCAGGGTCGGCGCCTCCCATCCCGCGGCGGCAGGCGCCTCGCGCCCCCGACGAAATCCAAGGCCCGTTGGGGGCCGCCGTGGTCGCCCAGATCTTCCTCATTCGAGAGGAAGTGGCGACTCCTCCTCCTCCTCCTCCTCCTCCTCCTCTCCTCCTCATCCTCCTCCCTCCTCCTCCTCCTCCTCCTCCTCCCTCCTCCTCCTCCTCCTCCTCCTCCTCCTTCCTCCTCCTCCTCCTCCTCCTCCTCCTCCTCCCCCTCCCCCTTCCCTCCTCCTCCTCCTCCTCCTCCTCTCCCCCTCCCCCTCGGACCGCCGCCAGGCGCAGGCGGGGGGCCGCGGCCTCGGGGGCTGCCTGGCTGCCCTTCGCCTGCGGGAGGGCCGCCACCACTCGACAGCCTCCCGCCACCACCGACGCTGTCGTCGTCGTCGTCGTCGTCGTCCTCCTCCTCCTCCTCCTCCTCCTCCTCCTCTCCGCCCGCGCCCCTCCCGCAGTGCGCCTCCTCCTCGTGCTCCTCCGCCTCGCCTCTGCTTGCCCTTCTTCCTCCTCTCCTCCTCCTCCTCCTCCTCCTCCTCCCGCTCCTTGGCCTCACCGTCGTCGCCGAAGTCCTCCTCCTCCTCCTCCTCCTCCTTCGCGTCCTCCTCCTCCTCCTCCTCCTCCTCCTCCTCCTCCTCCTCCCCCGCCTTCTCTTATATGATCGTATATTTTCTTATCATATTGTATCATAGCTTAGCTGCTACTATATTACATTAGATATAGTGTGTTATCTTGGCGTATCATATATCCCTTCTCTTCTCTTCTCTTCTCCTCTCCTCTCATCGTTGGTCTGATCTATTCGTATACGGTGTTCAAGTAATGTTGCTTCACCGTGTCTTCTCTTATCTTCTCTTCTGTTATCTCTTCATATCTCATCTTCCCTTTTAGTATCATATAGTCACTCTACTTCCCTTATCTGTTCGTCCATTCTCCTCTCTGTTCTTATATGCACTTATATCAAAATATGTCCGTATACCATATGATGGCCTTTCTACATCACAATAATGTATTACCGTCTCTTCTCTCGTATTACAGTGCATTGTGTTCTCGTATCGTCTATTGTCTTATCGTATAGTGTATTATCGTCGCTGCTAGTCGTTTATAGTTTCGTATATTGTGTTATCGTATATTCTCAGTTCTTATCGTCTCGTACCTTCTCTCATTTCCTCTCTTATTCGCTTCTCTTCTCTTCTCTTCTCTTCTCTTCTCTTCTCTTATCTTAATTTGTTCTTTTTTCTATCCTGCCCTCTTCCTCCTCCTTCTCCTCCCCCTCCGCCCGCGCCCCTCACGCAGTGCGCCTCCCCCTCATGCTCCTCCGCCTCCGCCTCTGATTGCCCCAATCCTCCTCCTCCTCCTCCTCCTCCTCCTCCTCCTCCTCCTCCTTCTCCTCCTCCTACTCCTCTTCTGTTTCCTCCGCCTCCTCCTCCTCCTCCTCCTCCTCCTCGTCCGCTTCCTCCTCCTCCTCCTACTCCTCCTCCGCCTCCGCCTCCTCCTCCGCGGCCTCCTCCTCCGAGGCCTCCTCCATCTCCATCCTCGTCAAGTGGCTCAAGCGACCTGGCATTTGGTAGCATCGAAGGCGAGGCCTTCAGTGACGGCTCCTGCGCCTCGCCTGTGCAGGGCGACCCCCGACTCAGTAGAGCGGGATGGTCTGTTGTCCAGGTGGACGCCAATGGCTGCCTGGTGTCTTCGTTGTGCGGCCTTTTTACCTGGGCCGCACCAGGCGTCGGACCTCGCGGAGGCCTTCGCCCTGCTCATGTACCTGACGCATGTGGCCAAAGGGCCCTTCTGCTTCTGCTCGGGCTGCGCCTGGGTGGTCTCGAGCTTCGCGCGTGGGCGCGCCGAGACGACGGGCGCACAGTGAGGCCGCGGACCTGTGGTCTCGCAGCTGGGATCGGGTGGATGACCTGGGGGGTGGGGTCACCGTGACTAAGGTCAAGGGCCACGCTCGCCGCTGTCACGACGACGCGGTCGAGGATGGCATGACCAAGCGCTGGGGCAATCAGCTTGCCGACCGCGGCGCTCGAGCTGGCGCCGCCCTCCGCCCCACAGACGAGGTAGGTGGCGGTGGAGCGCGCGAAGCGCTCTCCTTCCGCCTGGTGACTTCTGTCGCCAAGTTGCTGGCTCGTGTGCTGCGCTCTGCAGCACCGAGCCCGCACGCTGCGCCACGACACGGCCACCTGCGCCGCGCGCAGCAGCGAGGCCGTGTCCCCGAGCTGACGGCAGACACTGCGCTGCCCGGAGGCGCGCACGGGGCCAGGCCGTGCGGCGCGGGCTTCCGCGGTGGCCGCTGCTTTCGCGTCGCCAGGGCGCGCGCGGCGCTCTCACGCCTGCTGTGTGTGTGAGCCAGGCGGCGGCCACCGTGTTTGGAGCGTGGGCCCTGTCTTGTTCTGCGCGAGGTGCGGGGCGCACTCGAGCGAGAACGCCCAGCTCCTCGCGCAGCCTTGACTGGGGACCGTTCCCCCGCAGACGCGGCCCCGACTGGGACGCCTGCAGGATGCCCGTGGCCAGCGGCCACGGTGGGCCACGGCCGTTCGCGAATTTCGTACTCGACGCCCTGGTCGGAGACCTGGTCGTCGAGGACGATTCCGCTGACGGCGCGTAGGCCTCCTGGCTGCGCCTGCTGGCACTCCCCATATGGGGGGGTGCTCGGGCCCTGCACGCTGTGCGCCGCGCTTGATGACTCCGCGGCCTCCTCCTCCTCCACCTCCCCCGCCTGTTCCGCCTCCTCCTCCTTCTCCTCTTCATCCTCCTCCTTTCTCTCCTCCTTCATCCTCCTCCTCCTCCCTTTCCTCCTCCTCCTCCTTTTCCTCCTCCTCCTCCTCCGCCTCCTCCTCCTCTTCCTCTCTCCTCCTCCTCCCTTTCTCTTTTCCACTTCCTCCCTCCTCCTCCCTCCTCCCTCCTCCTCCTCCTCCTCCTCCTCCTCCTCCTCCTCCTCTCCTCCTCCTCCTCCTCTTCCTCCTCCTCCTCCTCCTCTCCCTCCCTCTCTCCTCCTCCTCTCCTCCTCCTCCTCCTCCTCCTCTCCCTCCTCCTCTCTCTCCTCCTCCTCCTCCATCCTCCTCCTCCACATTCTCCTCCCCTCCTCCTCCTCATCCTCCCTCCCCCTCCTCCTCCTCCTCGTTCTCGTCGTCGTCCTCCTTCTCCTCCTCCCCCCTTCCTCCTTCTCCCTCCTCCTCTCCTCTCCTCCTCCTCCTCCTCCCCTCCTCCTCCTCCTCCTCCTCCCCCCCTCCTCCTCCTTCTCCACCTCCTCCTCCTCCCCCACCTCCTCCTCCTTTTCCTCCTCCTCTTCCTCCTTCCTCTCCTCGTTGGCGCCTCTCCCCTCCTCCTTCTCCTCCTGGCTCGCGCCTCCCACTCCTTTTCCAATACCTCGACCTCCTCCTCCTTCTTGTCCTCCTCCTCCTCCTACTCCTGCTCCTCCTGCTCCTCCTCCTACCCCTCCTCCGCCCACGCCCCTCCCGCAGTGCGCCTCCCCCTCGTGCTCCTCCGCCTCCGCCTCCTGCTTGCCCCCTCCTCCATTCCCTTTCCTTATACATAACTTTTCCCTGCCGCTTCCCGAAGCCAAGTTGTAGGGCGGGCCTGGCGTTTCGCCAGAGACTTCCTCACCATTGATGCCTCTGAAGCTAAATCAAAGGCAACCGCTTAACAGATGGAGGGCGGGCGGTTTTCGAAATGTGGCTCTCGCCTTAGCGCCGCGCGCGCTCGTCTTACACATTTGCAAGAGCTTCACGGATTGAGGGCGGCTGGTTTTCAAACTGTGGCTCTCGCCTCAACGCCGCGAACACTCATCTTAAACATTTGCAAGAGTTTCATGGGTTGAGGGCGGGTGGGGTTCACAATGTGGCTCTCGCCTTAGCGCCGCGCCCATTCGTTGTCAACAAGTTGCAAGAGCTTCACGGATTCAGGGCAGGTGTTTTTTTTCAAACTGTGGCTCTCGCCTTAGCGCCGCGCGCATTCGTTTTCTAAATATGCACGAGTTTCACCATGTGGCTCTCGCCTTATCGCCGCGTACATTCGCTGGTTCCCATGATCAAAGTACCAGAAACGGTGTTTGGAAGGACTTTGGATTTTGCGGGTGCAGCAATTGTGTTGGTTCGCGGTGTTGAAGTCCCCCACATGGCGTCCTGGCACGATTCCGGATCGTCAAGACGCATCAGTCAGGTTGATCCGTGGCGTTGACATCCCGAGAATAATGTTTTTGGCATGCGTCAGGGCCTTCAAACGGTTGTCTTCCAACGAGGCAGTTCCCTCAATGGAAATGAACCTTTGTAGGGGCCTGTGAAGGAAGAGCTTGGAGGGAGGGTTAATTCCAACATCGTTGGTGACTCTTGGGTTTACACAAGTCCTCCTCCTCCTCCTCCTCCTTTTCCTCCTCCTCCTCCATTTCTTCTCCTCATAAGCAGCTTCTCCCTGTCGCACCCCGAAGCCAGTCTTTAGGACGGGCCGGGCGTTCCGCCTGAGACTTCCTCACCGTTTATGGCTCTGGAACTTAAAATTAAACAGTTTCACAGATGCGCAGATGGGGGGGTGGGTGGTTTCGAAATGTGGCTCTCGCCTTAGCGCCGCGCACATTCGCCCTTAGAAATTACAAGAGTTTCACGGATTGGGGGTGGTGGTTTTCAAAATGTGACTCTCGCCTTGGCGCCGCGCACACTCGTCTTAAACATGTGCAAGCAGAGCTTTACTGGTTGAGGGCGGCTCCTTTCCAACATGTGATTCTCGCCTTAACGCCGCGAACACTCGTCTTGAACATTAGCAAGAGCTTCACGGGTTGAGGGGAACTCTTTTTTAAACTGTGGTTCTCGCCTCAGCGCCGCGCACATTCGCTTCAACACTTTGCAAAAGTTTCGCGGGTACCCATGATCAGCACACCAGAAATGGTGTTTGGAAGGGTTCAGGTTTATGCGCGTGCAAGAGTTGTGTTGCTTCGCGGTGTTGAAGACCCCCACATGGCGTTCTGACGCGAACCTGGATCGTCCAGGCGCAGTAGTCAGGTTGATCCGTCACGTTGACATCCCGAGAACCAATGTTTTGGCATGCTTCAGGGTCTACATCCAGTTGTCTTCCAACGGGGCAGTTCCCTCAACACAAATGAAACGTTGTAGGGGTCTATGCAGGGGGAGCTTGGAAGGAGGTTTTTGTTTCCAACATCGTTGATGCCTCTTGGCTTTACACAGGTCCTCCTCCTCCTCACTGGTCCTCCTCCTCCTCCTTCTTCTTCTTCTTCTCCTCCTCCTCCTCCACCGCCTCTTCCTCCGCCTCCTCCGCCAGCTTTGTCTCCTCCGCCTCCTCCTCTCCTCCTCATGCTGCGCTGTCCTCCCTCCTCTTTGCCTCTCCTCCACCGCCTTCGTCCTCGTCCTCGTCCTCTTCCTCCTCCTCGTCCTCCTCCTCATTCAACTCCTTCTCGTTCGCGCGCACCCCCCCTTCCTCCTCCTCCTCCTCCTCCTCCTCCTCCTCCTCCTCCTCCTTCTCGCTCGCGCCTCCCCCTTCCTCCTCCTCCTCCTCCTCCTGCTCCTGCTCCTGCTCCTCCTCCTCCTCCTCCTCCGTGAGAAGGGCGGGCCAAGCCCTCGCCTACGACAACGACTGCTGAACATCGGGATCTCGCTCTAGCGCCGCGCGCATTCGTCGTGATAACTTGCGAACAAGTACACATGCGGGCGGGGGATACTTTCAAATGAGGTTCTCGCATCAGCGCCGCGCACATCAGCCTCTCACGTTTGCAACAGTCACACGAATGGGCCACGAGCCGTTTTCAGAGGCTCTCGCACTGACGCCGCGCGCATTCGTCTTGCACGCTTGCCATGAAGGGACTCTTGGCACAGCGCCGCGCGCATTCGTCTTACAAACTTGCAGCAGCTACCATGTTGGGGGATGGTTCCTTTTCACAGTGGGGCTTTCGCCGTGGTGCCGTGTGTCTATATGTATATATACAGATATTGTTTAGATACAAAAAACACTTTTTGGTATATATTTATATATACACATTCGCAGCGACCGTACGTATGGAGGGCGGTTCCTTTTCAAAAGGTGGCTCTCGCTTGAGGCTGCCCTACATTTGACGACTAAGAAAGGTTAAACACATACAGCACATGCGCGGATGGAGGGCGGTTCGGTTTCAAAACAGGGAGCTCTCCCTTGAAGCTGCATGTGGCCGTCAGAGGTGTGACCGTGCACGCATGGGGGCAGCGGGCCCATGTCAATAATTGAGCAGGGGCCGACCGTCCAGACTTTCCTTTAGGCCTACCACGACATGTTCTTCGAACCCAAAAATGTTCTAAGAACAAAAACAAGTTCTTAGAACATAAGCCCGATGTGCTAAAACAAGACAGTCCCAACCAAAAAGGTTCTAAGAACATTTCGTGCAGACCACAAACAGTTCTTAGAACATTCCGTGGTCGGCCAATCGGCGAGCTAGGACGCTTCGCCACTGCTTGACATGCACGGACTTCCTTCTCACAGCGGGGCTCCGGCGTGAACGGCAGGCGCCCGGGGTGCTCGTCTTTCAAGGGGGGCGCTCCTTGCGGTGGAAAGGCTGGCGTGTAGGGACCCAAGGGGATGGGACTTGGGGCGGGGGGGGTTTTCGCGAATGCATCTTGGGTCTGCTATGGTCCTCCTCCTTCTCCTCGTCCTCCACCATTATCCTGTGAAGGACTCCTCCCTGTTGCACCCGTAGACGTGTCGGTAGGGCGGGTCGGGCGTTTCGCCGGGGATTTCCTCACCTCTGATGACCCTCAAGCTTGAAATTTGTAACAGCTTTCAGGATGGAGCAAACGTCGTTTTCAGTATGTGGCTCGTGCCTTCGCGCCGCGCGCATCCGTCCCAAAAGTGTGAAGCAGTTTCAACGGTAGAGCACGAGTCATGTTCAACATGTGGTTCTCGCCCTTTCGCAGTACGCGCATTCGTTCTACAAGCTTGCAACCATTCAATCATGGATAACCGTTTGCTTTTCAAATTGTGGCTCTCGCTTCAGCGCCACATTTATTCGTCTTAAAGTGTTGCAGGAGCTTCAAGGATGAAGAACAGGTCATTTTCAAAATGTGGCCCTCGGCTTAGCGCCGGGTGCATTCGTCTTCAAAGTTTGCAACAGTTTCAAGGATTGAAGGGTGGCTGCTTTTCGAAATGTGGCTCTCGCTTCAGCGCCGCGCACACTCGTCCTGAACTGTTTCAACAGCTTCGAGAAGGAAAGGGCAGGTCCTTTTCGGTATGCGGCCCTCGCCGCAGCGCAATGCACAATCGTCTTGAACGTTCGCAACCAGCGTCAGGGATGGAAGAGGAGTTGGTTCCAAACTGGGGCTCTCGCCTGAGCGTCGCGAGCATTCATCTTACAAGCTTCAGCCAATTCAAGGATGTAGGGGGGGATTCTGGAAATGTGGCTCACGCCTCAGCGCTGAGCAAATTCGTATAACGAATTCGCAGCACATTCATTGATCGAGTGGCCGTTCATTTTCAAAGTGAGGCTCTCGCCAGAACGCCGCGAACGTTCACCTCAACGTCGTGGAGCGGTTCCAGGGATCGAGCACGCGCCGTCTGTAGGATGATGCTCTCGCGTCAGCACAGCGCGCCTTCTCTTGCCAATGCGCCGTTTAGAAGGATGGTGGACTGCCTGGTGCCATCGCTGGACGCACCGCTCATTCCCAAGGCCCGAGCCTTCAGCTCATCCCGGCGCTGCACAGCTCCAGAGCGGCTCTTTTCCAGATGCCCTTGTGGCCTGAGACTTCCTCGAAACTCATGGCCGCACGTGCTACACGGATGGGGTGTGGTCCTCCTTCGACAAGATCAGACCTCGCTGGGCACCTCGCTGACATTTGCGATCCTGGTTTTGGATTTGCTGATGCCGCGCCAGAAAGATGCAAGGCAAGTCGTTTTCGAAGCAGGGGCCTCGCCAAGACGACAGGCTCAACCGTGCTGGTCTTTCAAGGGGGGGCGCTTCCTGTAGTGAAAAAGCAAGCTTGTAGAAACGTGTGAGGGGGTGGGGACTTGGGACGGGAGGGCGTATTGCAGCATCGCTGATGCATCTCTGGTTTACTCTGGTCCTCCTCCTCCTCCTCCTCCTCCTCCTCCTCCTCCCCATCCTCCCCATCCTTGTCCCCTGCAGTTCCCCCTGCACCCCCGCTGCCCCGCGCCCCTCCCGGCACCCCACCCCAGGTCCCCCGCACCACTCCCCGCACAACCCGCTCCCACTTCCCTTCCTCAGGCTTCGGGCTTCGGGGCTTCGTCGGGAGCGGCCAAGAAGGGGGTGTCCAAGAGGGGGGGGGTGCAAATCATGACCGGCGGCATGTGCGCGGCCCAGCGGGGGGGCCAGGGACATACTGAAATGAGAAGAGGCGCCACGAAATCTGGGGAGATATCATGGCCCACGCCATGATATCCACCCGACTTCGGGCCGGCGGCCGGGCTGGGTCGCACCCGGTGCGGCTGGCGTCCCTCCCGGCCCCCGCCCCGCCTGCTCCTGCTCTTGCCCCGCCTCCTTATCCTCCCTCTTCCTCGTCGCGCCGCCTGACGCGTCCGCAGGGCAGGCCACGCGTTTCGCCTGAGACTTTCTCGTTCTGCCTGGTACTGAAGCTTCTGCCCCTCCCTCCCCCCTTCCGCCTCGTTGCCGTCATCGTCGTCGTCCACCTCCTCATCCTCTTCTGCTGAGCCCCCTCTGGCCTTGGCCTTGTCCTTGGCCTTGGTCTTGGTGCTGCCCTTCGCCCTGGCGTCGCCCCGCCCAGCGCCTCGTGGGCGGCAGGAGAATGAGGAGGAGCAGGATACAGATTACGACGAGGATTATTATAACGATGATGACTGTGATGCTGAAGACGTCCTATGACGATAGTGGTGATAAGCAAGAGATGGAAGATCAATCAAACCAGCATGCTGATCCTACAATAGGCCCTCCCCTCCCGCGCCCCCCTACCCAAAACAACTAGCGCATGGATTCCTCTTCACTGCGGCGGGCGCCTGCCGGAAACAGGGAGGCCCCGTGAGCCCGCCCCAACTCCTGGACCGCGAGGGCCCAGAAGCCGTGACGAGACTCTGGTGGCCCGCTGCAGCTTCGGGACTTGGGCGGACTGGAATAATACTCCAGATTCCGTAATAAAAGGGAGGGGGTCTGGACCCTCCCAGACGAGCCATTTCAGACCTCCCCCGTGGGAGAACCCTCCAAAACATCGTCCCCAGACCCCCCCAGGCCCTCCAAGATAGCCTGGAAGAGCCCCCCCCCGAAATGAGACCCCCCTCTCTTTATTACGAAATCTGGAGTACCCACCGGTCGGAAAAAGCAGGTAGAAGCATAAAATAGGAACGCATTGAAAAAAGACTGGGTTCCGTCCGCCCCCTAAGGAGGACGGAAAAGGCGAAGCCACTCGATCATTGAAGTGGGAAGGCGCTTAAGGTAGATTGGAATCTGGGGATCCAAGAATATCTACTTTCGACGACCGATGGGTACGTTAAGACATCTTGCTAGAAGCAATCTTGAGGCGCATTCTTCGTCGAGATTTGAACTTCCTGAGGTGCCCTGAGGATTCAGTTACACCAGAGAAGAATCCAATCAGTGGATGGTTTGAAAATTAGTGACACGGCATTGAGATCGATTGTAGGATCGATCGTGAGGTCGACAGTGGGATCGATAGTGAGGACGATAGTCAGACCGATCGCGATAGTGACGTCGATTCATTGAGATCGAGAGAGAGAGAGAGAGAGAGATCGATCGTGAGATCGCTCGTGCGATCTAGAATTAGATCGATGGTCAGATCGATCGTTCCCTCATCCGTGCTGGCACTGAAAAGGTCCTAGCGGATCTTGAAGGATGTGGCAAAAATGGGTGGCCGTCTTCGGTAGGCCGTCGGCTTCGCGAGTTCCCGGTTCCGGGTTCCTGGGTTGCAGGTTCCTGGTTCCGGGCCGATTTCACTGGGCGGCGGGGTTCCAAGGTTTCCGGGTTCCCGGGTTCCTGGTCGATTTCCTTATCGATCGGTCTCACCATTGATCTCATTACCCACCTCTCTATGGATCTTATTATCGATCTCACACTCGGTTTAACTATTAATCTTATAGTCGATTTAACTATTGATCGTACGAACGATCCCACGGTCGATCTCACTCTCGGTATCACTGAATCGACTTCACTATCGGTCTCACGATCGGCCATACTATCGTCCTCACTATCGATCCCACTTTCGATCCTAGAATCGATCTCAATGTCCATATCATCAAATTTCAAACCGTCAACTGATTGGGTTTCCTCCGGTAGTATAATGAGATTGATGATGGGATCGATCGAGATGGGTTATGAAATCGGTTGTGAGACCCATCGATAAAGGGATCGACAAGGAACCCGGGAACCCGAAAACCTAGGAACCCCGCCGCCCAACGAAACCGGCCCCGAACCTGGAACCGGGAACCCGGAACCAAGATATGGGAAGCCAGGACCGGGAACCCGGGAGCACGGCGGCCCACCGAAATCGGCCGCCCACTTTCGCCAGGTCCTTCAAGATCCGCTAGGACACCTTCAGGACAAACACTGATTGAGGAACAAGCCCCCTGCCCCCTACAGTCGGGGCGCTGACCTCAGGAACCCTAAATAAGGAACGAGGCCCCTATTTGCCATGAGTTCGACTTCGATGCCACATCGAAAACCTAAGGAAAAACCTGAGGCAAGCTGTGAAACACTTAAGGAACACCGAGCCCCTCCCCAACGAAAAGGGTTCCTTCTCCAGGGCCCCGACTGTAGGCCCACTGGGGGATAAGGAACCTCCTGGGGGCCCCTGCCGGCGGGCCAACTTCTTCTTTGGCGTACCCGCTCCAAGCAGCATCCGGCCCCGCCACGGGCAGCGGCAGGGCCGAGCGGCGACATCACCAAGAGTTTCAGGAGGAGGAGGGGGAGGAGGAGGAGGAGGAGGAGGAGGAGGAGGAGGAGGAGGAGGAGGAGGAGGAGGAGGAGGAGGATGAGCAAGCCCGCACACGACCGAGCCAACATTCGGCAGCAGCGCACGGCAAGACACAACGAACTCTGGAATCGAGGCACCGCCCTCCAGCCGAGTAGCGCCGAGCCGCTTTGAGAACACGAGAACACGCACATGTGAAAGGAACCCCTTCCATCCGTGCAGGTATTTGGGATGTCAGGCCAGGTGTTCAGGAAGGGAAGGGGCGCCTCGAGCGAGAACATGATTTTAGAACGTGTCAGTGTCACCCTCCATCAGTGTATTCCCAGTTTCAAATTCCTGCGCTGCGGGAAAATCTGAACGATAATCTCGTTTTCGAAAATTCGGGAAAAACAACATCGTGTCCGTGCACCTATTCAACTCGTCAGCTTCTGAAGCATGCGAATGAGAGCATCTACAGACGTCCTAAGACTGGACCTGGCTATTCACATGATTCGCAACGTCCGAACAACTCCTTCGCATTTCACGATGTATGACCACCGTCATTGCCGTCTCAGGCGGGCGGTCGACTATGACAAACGCCCAACCCTCCATCAGTGTAGCTAGATATAGGCATTTCAAAATCCTAAGAACGCAGCATATGAACGTGCTTCAGGCGTGTATCTAAGCTCCGAAAACGATTGCCAGCGTAGACCCCAAACCGTGATTTCTTGCAACGTATGCGGTGCAATCTAGGTGCAACCAATGCGGTGCAATCTATATGGTCCAGTCCATGTGGTGCAATCTATGTTGTGAAAAAGCAGTGCAAAGCAATGTAACAACAATGCAACCACACTGCAACCCAATGAAGGGTAAAGCAAAGCAACGCAAAGCAATGAAAAGCACGACATAGCAATGCAAAGCAATGCGAAGCAATGCAGGCCCAGACGACGGGCGGCGACGAGGCGGCGACAAGGTGGCGACGGGTCGGCCACGGCGACGACATAGCCGCCAGACCGACCCCCAGGCCCAGACGACGGGCGGCGACGAGGTTGCGACGGGGCGGCGACGGCGACAACATAGCCGCCAGACCGACCTCCACGCCAAGTTGCTTATTCCAGAACTAAGACCCCCCAAATGCAAGCACAGCTCGGAGACAAATAAGCATCTATTCGTGCAGTGGCCCCGACCGCGCTACCGTCACGAGTGTGGTGCGACGAAGAGGAGCGATTCTGGAGAAGAAGGGTGGGGAAGAAACGGGAGGAGGGGAGGGGTGACCGGAAGGGGTAATGATAGGGTAAGGAGTAGAGGAGGAGAGGAGAAGCGTCGGCTGCCACGTGAAGGAATAGCATCTTCTCAAAGGTTCTGCAAATTCGCAGAGGGGGGAGGATGAGGAACGTGTGGTGAGGATGGGGGAGGCGGGGGGCAGGGCGAAGATGGGAGGGGGGCAGGGCAGATGCAGGGGGGGGGAGGAGACGATGGAGAGGAGAAGGAGCAGGAAACGATGCGGCAAGAGAGGAGCAGACAAATGGCTCCACTCAGTACCACTCCATCTCCCCTCTCGCTGATCCGCCGCCCCTGCCGCCGCCGCGGTGCCCACCGCCGCCGCCGCCGCCGTCCTCGCCGCCGCCGGCGCGGGGGCGGCCGCGGCTGCCTGAGCCGTCGGACCTGTGGCCTTCGCGGGGGGGCGATCGGCGAGGGCGGCGGCGGCGGCGAGGCCGGCGGCGGCCTCTGCGGATGGCGACGGCGGCGAGAGCGAGGGCGACCACGACGAAGGCGGCGACGACGACGGCGACAACGACGACGACGGCGGCGACGGCGAGCACGCGGCGCCGGGCGCACAAAGTGCGGAGGTCACCGTGGCCCGCCGAGGCCGCCGAGGCCGCAGTGGGCGCCGATCGCTGCAGCGCGCGCGGGTCGCTGCGCTGCCTGCTCGCGGCCCGAGGCCTCGTCGAGGCGCGCTCGCTCACCAGAGCTCGGTCACGAGATGAGGAGGATGAGGGCGGGGGAGGAGGAGGAGGAGGAGGAGGAGGAGGAGGAAGAGGAGGAGGAGGAGGAGGAGGAGGAGGAGGAGGATGAGGAGGAGGAGGAGGAGGAAGGGGAGGAGGAGGAGGGGGTGCAGCAGCGAGGGCGGCGGCGACGAGGACGACGAGGACGACCATGGCGGCGATGACGGCGGCTGCGGCGACGACGACGAAGACGGCGGCCACTGCGACAACCGACGTCATCTGGAGGACCCTCGAGGCCTCTGGACTTCCCTGGAGGTCTCCAGAAGTCCGGAGGCGTCCCGAAAGGGTGCGACATGCAAACAAACAACCTCGGCCCCCCCCCCCTCTCCTCGAAACTTGACGACGACGGTGACTTCGACGACGACGCCAACGACGATGACAGCGGCGGCGGCGATGCCAGCGACGAGGACGGCTGGGACGACCACAACGGCTGGGACGTCCCAAGATCTCGGTCACAGAGCCTCGATCCTCGCCCGACGACGAAGACCACGGCGGCGACGACGGCGGCGACGATGTCGAAGACGACCACGACGAAGACGAGGAAGGCGGCTGCGACAACGACGACCATGACGAGCATCTTATCAGAGCGGGTCCCCAGAGCTCTCCAGGGGGCGCATCCTGCATATGATTTCTCCGGCCGCGGCAAGCCGTGGCAACGGGCGGCACCCACGAAGACGACCCAGAAGACGAACGTCGAGCCTTGAAACTCGATCGGCAGAATCTTCTGAGAGAGCTGTCCGGAACTTGTGACGTCCACTTGTGGCGTCTACCTGTGGCGTCCACTCGGGGCGTCCAAAATCTGGGCGGCTTTTGGAAGGTCCTTAGAAGGTGCTCTCGAAGCTCTGGAAGCGAGCTTCTGGAAAGCATGACAGCACAAGTCTGGGGAAACAACTAGACAAGGCTTCCGGGATAAACTGCCAATGCACATGAGTTTTGTCCGACGCTCCCTGACGGAAACCGAAACGAACCCCGAGGCTACCATGCGGCGCCGGCTTCTACCTTGTGGCATCGAAAACCAGGACAGCGGACCAGCCCCAAAGACGAGAAAACCAGAGAACCTTGGCCCTGGAAGCTCGACCAGCGGGAAAACCAAGCACAAACAACCTGGATCCTCAGGGCTCGACTGACGGGAAAACGTGACACGAACCTCGGTCCCTGGCACCTGAGCACCTCGATCGGCGGCAGGACGAACAGCAGACAACGAATCTCGATCGTTGAGGCTCGGCCAGGGGGCGGCGGCACAGGGGAAGAGCGGCCTGCGTCGGCGCCCGCGTCGTCGAAGAGCTCCTCCTCCTCCTCGGCCGCGCGCGCCGCCGCAGGGGAGGGAGGGAGGGAGGGAAGCAGCAGTGAGAAGTGAGCAATGGTACCCGCATTGGCCCCAGAGGTGCTGATGAGCCTCAGGCTGGCGCCAAAAGCCGGGAGGCCGGCGCGCACTCGAAGGGGGTGGCCAGCATCGTGAGCAAGCCTGGAGAGGAGTCCTGTCTGTGGAAATTTCTGGCTTTCTTTCTCGTCTTCTGCAGGGGGGGGCGGACAGGTGGGACGGACGGAAGGGAGGAGGAGGGGATGGAGGGGGGCGGGATGGGGAGGAGGGGATGCAGGGGATGGTGGGGGGCGGGAGGGAGCGAGGAGGGGTTTGGAGGGGCGGAGGAGGGGATTCATGGAAGGAGTGGAGGGGCAGGGGGCTGGAGGGCGGCGGGAGGGAGTGAAGAAGCAAGGGCCCCGATTCCCGACGTCATGATCTTTTGAACATGTCGACCCCAAGAGGTCTCTTTTTGCAGCGCATGTGGCGGACTGCTTTGGCTGCATCAGGGGCGCATCTGGCGCACCACCATCACCTTTAAAAGGCTCTTCTGCCTGCGCGGCCACAAAATGCACGGGCCCCACTGACCTGACCCAAAGGTCTTGACCCACCCGGGGACCGGCTTTTCATCCCGAGTCGCTTTTTGACGGCCCCGAGGCCCGGTGAATTCGTCATCTCGTATTGGCCGTAAACGACGGCCTCGAAGCTCGCTCAATGACAATGTGGCTTTGGCATGCTGCTGCCCTTGAGCTGCCCAAATTTGAGACTCGACTGTGGACCCCGGCAATTTGACGAAGATCCTTTGCGACTCCCAGGTGAAATATCGCTGCTCACGTACCGCTGGCCCCCCTATTTGCCCATGTTGCCCTTGCCCTTGCTGGTAACCTTCGGTGCCCCTTTCCCTTTCGTTCCGCTTTTGCCGATACCTTTCATGGGGGACTGCGCCAACTTATCGGATAGGCGTTTGATCATGTCAGCGAAATCTGGGAACTCCGCCTGGGTTAACCAATCCTCCCACCCAGGCCCGTACTGCACCTCCAAGGTCACGTTCTCGATGAACACCCGGACGGCGATGCCGCTGCCCACCCAGACGTGGCCTTCCTCCGGGTCGGCCCAGACGCTCTCGTTGGCATACCCCCATTGTTTGAGAATCTGTTTGGCCCCGAAGACTCAAGAGGTCTTTGTCCCCCTTTGTCCGAACTGCGTTGCCCCCCTCTTTGAAGGCCGCCTTCCGGAGCGAGTCGATTGCGGTGTCCCGGGCGAACTTATCGAGAAACTTCACAAACACGATGCCCTGGAACTCCCACTTGACGTAGATTTCTTCTGGCCGTGGGGAATTCAAATCCCAAAGTTTGTTTTTGACCCATTCCCGTGCCTCCCCAAAATCAGAAAGCGAGCGTAACTCGCCGACCACTGCCGTAACCTCCTTGTCCTTCTCGTGGTGCTGGTTGCTGCTGTGCTGGCCGGCCTCCCGCAACTGCGAGATCTCGATCTCGAACGTCTTGATGTGGTCCCAAATGGCGGTATCGATGCTCCGGGATGTTGTAGTGGCGTCGGCCTGCTCGGCGCTGTTCTCGGGGTTCGTGAGGCGAAGTCCAGATCTCATAGTGGATATGATTACCAACAACGGCAAGGCTTCTTCAATGACCTCAGAGACTTCAGTACGTCGCGTTCTGCACATGGGCCTAAATTGCTTGTGGGAGATCTTAATGTTTAGCTGTGCGGCAAGTTCGATGACGAAGGGCATGTCATCGGGCCCCGTGTCTTTGTTCACCCAGGCCAGACATGCAAGCCCGATGCATATATATATATATATAGAGAGAGAGAGAGAGAGAGAGAGAGAGAGACATGCGCTCAACTACACATGTGTCTTGCGAACACGTTCTTCCCATCGCCGCAGCGCCAATTGGCCACGTGCTACAACGTCGGTTGCCCAGCTGGAGAAGATATCGATTGGCGCACTCATTCTGGGATAGACTTTCTTGGCTTGTGATCAGAATTTGTTCGACAACGTCTTGAGCGTTGCTGCGTGTCCAGACGCCCTATTGTCTTCGCACCACTTCTTGCTGAGAGCCCAGGTCCGGATCACTGTGGACAATATTGCGCCGGCCACGCAGAAATCAAGACCAGACGTGTGCAGCCTGATGGAGAATACTACAAAGCACCGCTTCACTTCTCTACTTGCTGAGTCTTTGGAGGACTTCGCCGACTCTGCGCCTGATCACAGGGATGTGAATCTGGCTTGGTGTCAGCTTGTTGACGGATTCCACCATGCATCGACGAACGCGCTGCCGTCGACACCAGCCCGTGCCAGGAAGCCTTGGATACGACCTCCCACTTGAGAACTCATAGACAGGCGCCTGGTAGCCAGACGTCAGGGCGACATCGATGAAGAAAAGCAGCTTGCCAAAACAATCAAAACCGCTGTGTCGAAAGACCGGGCCGCGTGGATGGACAGGCTTCCTGAGACCGGCGACTGGGAGCAGATTCGCAAGCTCAAGAAAGGCTGTTGCCCCCTGCAGGGCAGGATGAAAAATGCCAGTGGGGATTCGGTAGAGAACGACCATGGAGCAGCTACATTGGCAGACGATTCGGAACAAGTGCAGTGGGCGGTGCGGCCGACGGCAGTTCTGCTGGCGGACGCGCTCCACGCCAACGTCCTCCACATCGACCTTGGTGACAGCACAGAAGAGGAAGTGAAGAAATCGGTCGGCAAACTCCAACGAACGAACTGTTGTTTGGAAATACTTGTTTGCTGTATTTTCCACCAGACTCACAGCAATGAATCTGGAATCCCACTCCAATGCAGCAACTCACGAGCGCGTCACCGATTGATGTCCAAAAGGTGAGAAACTAGGACATATGGTAAACGTTTCCTGCTGCGCGCTTGCCCGCGCGCTCGTGGCGTTGAGCCAACACGACTACGGAGAGACAGCAACATCATGCAGCTCTCGTCTTGGAATTACCGCAGACTCCCCAGACAGTGCTTGCACAAAGGCGGAGGAACTGGTTGCCCAAGGCATGGAAGCCATAAGAAAACAAGAACTCACGATTTGGGGTCCACGCTGGCCCAAAAACTCCGGACAAGGGAAGGCGACAGTAGGCTGAACCAAACTAGGCCCACCCTACGGCAGAAAATTGCGAGGTACTCTCGCCGCCGGCACGCGGGCCTGGATTGCCATGGCCGCTCGCACAAAGTCGACTATGGGCGTGGAGCGCTTCCCTTGCATGGAAAACGCAACGTGACGGAAATCACGGGGTTTCCACCCGCACTCGGCCAGATCCACCACCATGCGTGCAGCATGGTGGGAGGCCTGCGAGACCGTCATGCCAATTTCCTCCCATCTGCTCACTCTGCCGCTCACATATGCATAAAGATAGCGCCGAGACGATGCCCAGGGTGGCGGAGTGGAAAACACTTTGGGGGCAAGATCAATGTAATCAGAGGCGCCATTTGCAAATGCATTCAGATCAATGCGGAGATCGAGCCAACTCAGTATTGGTCCACGATTGGCGATGCTGAAAGGCACCGGGGCCATGAGTTCCAACGCCCTTCGTAAACAGCTCTCGCATACCATGAACGAAACCAGTACCATGTCATCAATGTATCGTACAGAGGCTACTGCGTCCTCCCAGGATGCTGGGACCTGCCACCAATCACTGAAGGCGTCATTGCCACGCAACCAGTGGCGCTCCCCATCGCTGAGTACAATGCTGCACGCAATGCGCGACATGAAGCCACCGATGGGGATACCGGACATCTGGGCGACCACGTCGCCGACGGACACGAACGACATGCGAACAGCTGCCGCGAGGCACCAGAACAGTTCATCCAGAGTAAAAGTATGGCTGTCCGTACGTGGGTTGTCCACGCGCCCACCGTGATAGGTATGCCTGCGGGGGGCCGTGAATACAGACACGCTCCCAGAATGCCCCCTCTCTTGCGCTTCAGAAATGAGGCGACGACTAGCGAGGTCAGCCATGGCGGGAGTGACGAGTTCGAAAAACTGGTTGGCGTCGGCTACAATGCCGCAACATGGCTCTTTGGTACACCCGCATTGCGCACACTGGGTGCAGGGCCCGGGGGCCGGCACAATGCGCGACATGCGACTGCGTAAAACCGTGGCTGCGTCTTTAAGCCTCCACACTTCCATACTGCAGCCGACCCGCACAGACAAGGCCTCGAGCGCCCTGGAAATCTTCCTCCAGCGTGCTCTCCCTGGCCAGCTGCTATAGCTGACTACTTTCCGACAGCAGCTGTGGTCGGGATTCTCGCGCACTCTTCCCCCGGCCGGGAGATAACACTTGGATTTCACTGTCGTGTACAGGTGAGGGAGACGATGGATATCATCTCTGATGCTGAGCCATGCGTGGAGACGAGAAGGGACGAGCGCTTCCAGGATCAGCTGTAAGCGTGCGTTGGCCTCCGAAGTTGAATGAGCCACAAACTCCCAGTGCGGCGAATTCAGAATGAACGCAAACAGCGACAATTTAAAACTCGCAACCGGCACCTGCCAACACCATTTCTTTTCCTTATCGTCAGCCATGATTTGAAAGTTGTGTTGTGTGCCCATGTCGGAAACATGCGCGCAGTACTCGGGAGTGCTCTTCCGCCATGCCCGCAACTGCTTAATTATTGCACGCGTCCGCTGTATCGCCATGGTGTCACACAAACTGGTGTTGAAGTGGCCGATTGCACGCTTGAGGCCACGACGTGCACACGATGTGGCGATGTCGGCCAGCTCTCCGGCACCCTTCCTCACTTTGATGTCCCACCGCCTGTCGACACGCCGTGCGCCAAGAAAACTGATAGCCGCATACATGCGGTTGCCGGTGAGCTCCCGCAACTCGCTGAACCGGACGTGCTTGGAAGCGGTGGAAGCATCGCAAGAATCGATGTGGCAATGCACCTTGCCCGAATACACGCGCAGATGGCGGAGATTCCATACACGTTGGATCGCAGGCATGCGCAAGGAAGACACCTGGTCTTTCCAGA